CACTTTACACATCAACCAGCATTATTATATTATACAATCCTCAGATCATTAGTTATGCTTATTAACTAACGTTGGAAAGTTGGAAATAGTGTTATTATCTTCTGCACAGACCCCCTTCAGTAATTTCATGGACCCCTCCTTGAAAACCCTGGCCTTAAAGTACTAATATTTGCTTTAGTAATACTAGCTTTTCACCTGCAACCTAATTTGGGAGTGCCCATGGCAAATTTCATTATGACGTAAGAGGCATTGTAAGAAAACCTGGCCTAGATAACTTTCGCAATACCCAGTCCATGACTGTGATGCAATCTTTCAAGTTTTGAATGAGTGACTGCAATTATGTAACGCCAAAAGGAATTTTCCATTCACTGACACGCGAGCCTGGCAATCCAGGAAACACCTGCACGGTCTCTTTGGATGGCAGGTATTGAGTGTCTGATAAGGCTTATGTGCCTTTAGATGCAAAGGAGTGGGAGTGTTCTCATCTCTCCGTAGACCTCAGTGCAGCACTTCACACCTCAACACAAATGCCACGCACAAAGCCAACTTTGAAATCTCGGCTCGGCTCGAAGCAGACTACCAGAGAGCAGATGCTGAGCTGCTCACAATGCATTAGCATGAGCTATCTCTTTCTTGGCTTAAAGGCTAAACATCAGGAATGATTACTCTAGTCACTTACGGGGTGTAAAAATTGATGCTTGCAGAGAATTTAAATCCATTAAATCAAACAAACAACTCCTCTACACGGTGCGTTTTTCATACTAAATAGGCAGAATCTCCAGGATATTTTGTGTTTATCAGGATTTTATGCACTGATTTAGGGGGGAAATCTTCTGAATTTTATGATTTAAACAATGCTAAAATGTTTTAAACAGAGATTGTTACACTCGTATTGAGGGCCTGCATCTGTGGGCCTTTACAGTGTTACAGAAACACAGTGTTAATACTTTTAGGGAAATTTGTCTGTGTATAATGAGCTGGGATAGGGGAAATTATTTTAAAACTGAAAAAATTGCATGCTTCAGTTTTAACCAAAGGTTCAAAAATAGTCGATCATGGCGTTTCCTGTTTGGGAAATGACCTCAAAGTTCTTACTTGCTGGTTCTGTAGGTGTATTTGTAGGTGACCTCTCGGGAGACCTGACGGGCCAGTCCGAAAAGCTCATCTCTGCGAGTCAGCAATGCCACCTCCTTCATACAAAGCTGTGCTGCAGCCTCATTCACCGTCAGCTTTGTAGAAATGAAGGAGATTTTTATTATCAATTTGATAATAATAGATATTGTTATGTGCAAAGAATTAAACCAGTCTCACAAGTAAGCAATACCTCGGCTTAAACAGACCAGCATGATATTTCAGGTGCAGCCAATTAACCAATAAAGCACGCCCATCCCAAATGCACAACATAATTTCTTACTGAATGTGCAGCTATGCTTGGAAGTGAATGATTTATTTAAACCCCAAAAGCACTCAAAGAGGCAAGAGCCCCATAAAACGCACCTCGTGCAGAGTCAGATGCTTCCCATCCTTCCTTTTTGAGTCGAATCTGCCATATATAGCACTATACTTGCGGATTTCCTCTTCCCTGTGTGGATCCTCGTCACTCATATCAAAAATGTGGCTGATCATCTTTGCAAGCTTCTTATTTCCCTTCAACAGTTCTTTAACCTCTCCAGAGTCACTCTTGGGCAAAGCCTGAGCGATTCTGTCCACGCACTCTGCCACGGACTGAACAGCAGCTATGTCTAGTGCCTCTAGGGCATCCCGAGGGGAAGATGGAGAGCCCAGTTCTGCCGGGGACAGGCTGTGCTCACTCTCCGTGCCGTGACTGGCCCAAAAACGTGGCTCGCTGCCACTCTGGAGGGGCGAAACGGTGGCCGAAGAGTTCCCGTTGCCTGATTCTCCTTTTCCAGGATCCACGCAAGCAGCTGCCAAACACTTGGGCACTTTGACTTGGGTGTCTCCACGGGCGCCATTACCAGGCAACAATGTGGGTGACGCTTCGGGCAGCTTGTAGACAGGAATGCTGCAGACGGGAAGAGACGTGAGGGGCTGATTGAACAGGGCAGGGTTTGTGACCCAATCGCGCAGAGATTTCTGTAGGCGTCTGACATGCAGTGGCTTGCTGGCCATGCCTACGAGCGCCATGATCTCGAGAAACTCATCCTCGCCGGCCTCACAGAGCTGCTGAACATCATCGCCACCCTGCTGGATGAAGGCGTCGTAGTAGCACAGCAGGTTGGCCCTCTGAAGGATGCGGTAAAGCTGCAACTCCCCAAGGGTTCTGGGTAAAGTCGCTGCCATACCTGAACAAAAGAAGGAACAAAGTAAGCAATTCCAGAAAACAAAGCAAAAGAGCTGGAAGGAGAGGACACTGGTTGCCACAGCAGGGGTGGAAGAGAAATGTGTGGCTGGATCCAAGAGTGGCGACTATAAGAGAGTGCCTGTCAGGCTCCTGGGCTGCTGGGAGAGTCACATACCACACTCCACCTCTGCAACACGCGTAGGTGGGCTCTCTCAGCACAGGCCTCATTTGTTTCTGCCGGAATCTGGCTTCTACAGCTGCCACTGTCAGGATCTGGATCCTCAGCAGCACCGATAAAAGCGAGATTGACTGCAGGGGAGGGAGGTGGGGTAATGGAGCCGTTTGGCAGTGGGAGGGTAGGTGTGCATGCTAAGAAGATAGTGCTCTGCCTTTTAATTCACCCACTTCTTCCTTAAAAGGATCCAGGGATTATGAATGTACGACATACACAAGTGCACACATAATGCTCTCTGCAAACTTTGTCAGAGACTGTAATGCATACTAATGAGAGCTCATTCGCTTATTTGTCGGTTTTAGAAATTATATGGGGGGGGGGGAAATGTATTATTTTTAATCTGCATTTGCAAATCGCCACTCATTTGTGGATCAGATGCATTAATAGGGATGATTTGCAAATGCAGATACAATGCACATGAATAATCATACAAGACTTTGTGAACACAATTGTGTACTTATGAATGATGTTTAGCATGTTTGATTGGTATTATGTGCATGTGAATTAGATTACGGATTTGTCATATTTTGTGAATTTATTCATTTGTCACTGTAAAAATGAAAAGATCAAGGCACAATTTAGAGGTTCCTCAGAGCACCACACTGACAAAACACTGGAGAACCACAGAGGAACTTACAAAAGGATCCAATAAGTTCCTACAAGAACTCTAAAGACTGTCAATGACTCCTTTCCCCATCACAGGGGAACGGCATTGAGACACTTAAATTATATATTGAACTTCCTTGAGTACACAACAGGATAATTGAGGCACGTTCAAAATGATGCCTAGAGGTTCTCCAGAGGGTTCCTCCAGTGTGGCAGTCTGAGGATCTCCAAACAAGGCTTTTCATTTTTACAGTGGTGAATCATATTTTGTGAATAAGAATTAGGTTACTCATTTGTGAATCACATTTTGTGAATATATTCTTTCGGAGACTATTCTGACCCCTAGAGATATGTCAAGAAATATCTAGTGTCTTAACGTCATCAGAAAACAGTATTATACATTAAAATACACCAACTACTACTCATCCCTGCAATTTTTTAAAAAGACTTTACTCTGCCTTTATATCATATCCTGTTAACCTTAATTTCACAACAAACTTGCACTGACATGTATATCTGCATTTGCAGTTTTCTCTGTCTGCTATAAAGTAATGTGGGCAGTATAAAGACATAAAATCTTCAGACAGACACTGCTTTCAGAGAACAACATTCCTATAACAGCAAAAAATGCATGTCCAAAATTTGCAGAACTTTAAAGGCATTTCTACAATACACTCATATACTTTAGGATGAAAATAAAATAAAATAATTTAAAAAGAACAAGAAACAAAATAAACCTTTAAAAAAAAGAAGAAAATTAAAAAATATATAAAATACTTCACAAAAAAAATAAAAATAATAAAACAACCACTTTTTAAACAATGCCAATGTGAATGCCAGACCTCAATTATTATTCTTTCAGTGGCGGTAAAAGATGACAGATGCTGCTAAATCATCATGACTGTTAGTGTACTAGAGGTGAGTAAGAACAGTAACACAGCGAGGCTGATACGGAGTACTGATGAGTGAGTGTATGGAGTCTAATGAGGACACCCCACTGCAATGGATGACTGAGGCCTAGACCCAAGTGAAGGGTGCCTTGTTGAAACCAATTCAGTATCAGCATGGATGGCACTTAGGCAGCAATTTATCCAAAGCTCTCTCTCCCCACAGCATGCTGGCTTCCTAATGCTGGAGATCTAAGGCCAGGGCTTCACGCAACACGCTGAGAGCACTCACAGAACGTACTCGTGTTGCCCAACAGCGGCCTCTTATCAGTCTAAATGAATAATGGATTCACATCGAGACCTGTCCTAAATAGTACAATGAAGCTATCGAAAAGGAGCTTCTCTTGAAAGGCAACCTATACCGATATTTATAAATATAAATAATACCCGTGCATCAGACTAAATGTTTGTGGAACAGCTGATCTCCAAATGAAAGCTCTAAGGGCTGTTTTTGTGAAAGGAACATAAGGCACTACAAGAGGAACACAATCGATTCACTTCTTAAGTGGATGACTACACAAGAAATGGAAACATTTACATTTACTAATGTGGCAGACACTTTTATCCAAAGCGACTTACAGTTGAGGAATACAACAAGTGATGTATCATAAGATGGCAATAAACACGAGAAGTGCCCGTTATACAAGGTTTCAGTCATCGATCAAAATAGCAAAAAGCTAGGACAGGAGGATAATAAGAGAACAGAAAAAGTGAAGGCATAGATTTTTTTAAAAAGTAATATTATTGGAGGCAGTTAGATGATCACATTAGAGAGGAGTTTGTACATAAGCAGTGGGGTATCTCTTAAAGGAATAGTTCACGCAAAAAAAAAAAATTCTGTCATCATTACCTCACACTCACAATGTTTCAAACCTGTATGACTTTCTTTATACCGTGGAACATCAAAAGAGATGTTTAGAAGAATGCTCATGCTGCTTTTGTCCACACAATGAAACTGAATTGTGAGAAAGGTCTGTCAAGCTCCAGAAATGACAAAAAACAGCTTGAATTTCAGTCTGTTCAACACACTATTATATGACTTCAGATGATTCAGAATAGTATACTGGTCAGCCTCTGGTCACCATTCACTTTCACTTTATGGAAAACAGCAACATTAACCTACGCTTCTCCTTTTACGTTCCATAGAAGAGAGAAAATCATGTTTAGAATGAAGTGAGGATGAGTATTTTATTTTTGTCAACTATTCTTTAAATAAAAATTGGTATGCGATTAATTACAAATATTACAAGATGTAAAATAACTTGCCACAATGTACCGTCTCACAGATATAAATGTCTTCAACACCACCTTTCAGTTGCTTCATTATTAGGACCACTGACTCATGTTCAACCTTGATACTCTTTACTTTTCAAAGCACTTCAAAAGATGGGTGCAAACACAAACTCATTTAGGTGGCAGTGCATTTAACCCAAATACTGTACGATTCATCACAGGGTCTTTCGAAAACAATAGGGGAAAATATTGGTGAGGAAAGTAGAGAAGGAAAATGGGCATGATAAAAGTTCAACAATTTGCATTTAATATTAGTAACATCCGAATTGGTATATCGGGGGGCCCAGTGTACAAAGAGGTGGTAAACAATGAATCATAAACTCACAGGACAGACAACATTTCAAAAAAAAAAATTTCCCATTACCTCATTCCAATGTATTATTCAAATGATAAACCAAACATGAGGCATCACCAACTATTACTAATGTTTATGGGAACAATAATAAACCATCTCTGGCAGAATAGTTTTATTATAGACACTTATCATATTGTTATTATTCTGCCATGGCAGAACTGCTAGAAGGAAATTGTTAAATTTGGGCTATAGATATACAGTAAACAGTTTAGAGCCATCTACTATTCATGAAATATGAAAACGATTGCTTATAACTATAAATAATATGGTTTAAAATCATTTAAATTCTTTAGAATTAAAAGACACCATATGTGTCTATCTCAGCTGTACATCAAGCATTGGTTATTTTAAAGTTAAACATAAAATGCTGTATTTTACTAACAATTCATCAGCACCATCCTCTTAACCTGAGAAGATTGATACAAAATTTTAAAGGAAAAATTTTTACTTTTCAACTCTGCATACACCATTCATCAAATTTTCACCCCCAAAAAATGGCATTTCATTTTTAGACAGCTGGCATTTTTTGATAGACCAAATCAGTAGTCACTACAATCAAAACAAATTTTGGACAGCGACACGTATTGGTCAAAAATTATAAGCAATTGTATTAGCTACAAGTCAATCTATCGGGAATGCTATATTCAGTATTTATTTTACAACACTGTAATATATAATAATAATAATAATAATTACAATTCTATATAAGGCTATTTAAACATTTAAGCTGTTAATGTGCTTGGCTGTTAATATATGCATGCAATTATATTAATTAATATCATAATTATCATACATAACTTTATTTTTTATAAATATAAACATATCAATAGCTATACTTTTTTTTTTTTTTCATTTTATATCCTATAGCTAGCTCTTGAAATTCCTTGGGAGTAATACATCAGCCTACGAAATTCACACATAGAAAAGCCATTGCACACTGGACAGCATTGGGAAAACTATGACTGGAAGTGAAGAAACGCTAAGGATGCTGTACACACACAGCTGCCGACGACCAGACGCCCACGGGGGCGCGTTCAAACACGGTACCGAGAGCTGTCCGGTCTGTACGGCGCGCACATGGATGACAAAAACACGCAGGAAAGTTGCACACAATACATGAATTCAGCGCTCAACTGCATTTGCAAGCGACGCTGAACAAAAGTACTGACAAAAACGTACCTTTTTTGATTTCTTTCCTTGTCTTTTCCCACCAAAACTCTTCCAAAAGCGGCGCCTGGTTGTGATTATTAAAGTTCTGAATTATGACGGTCCGTTCAGTTACGCGACGCTTCACCTGACGTCCAGTTAGGTGCCGCGCGTTCTGCGGGTAAGCGACGCGTCCTTCGGCTCTCTGTTATTGAATGAACTCGCACACACTCTGTAGTTTGAACTACGGAGGGACTCTCAAACTAGTTGGTTTCCGCTCTCTCCCCTACTGCCAGAATTGGGATATTCCGCGCTTGCTACATTGCTCTCTCACTCCCACGCGCCTGCGTGACGCAGATCCTGGCGTGGGCGGTAGCGGCGCGTGGGAGGCTGCTGCATGGAATACCAAACCTCATATCAGCCGCATGCGCCGCCTCATATATATATATACATGGACATTTATCATGTTTGTTGACCTTACTGAAAATACGCCAGCATGCAGCATAACGGTTCGGTGGCCGCCTGTACGCCTACACCGGTGCTATTCTTGCCCCCTCCTCCTCCAGTGCAAATTCACCTGCTGCCTACAGCCTGCCATATACTGAGTCCTTGTGCATTCCAGTGGGCCTGGTGTTCCTGTTTCACATCTTATTAGTTCTACCCTGTTCCATTTATAGAGTTCTGGGCTGATGGATAATAACAAGATCTGCAGGCAATCTCATAAACAACATAATTAGGCTGCTTTTTACTTTTAAAAACATACTTTCTGGAGATTAGTTAATTAGCTAGTGCAAGTTTTTGGCAAAGCTGATTCTCCGGATTGTAATTAAAGAGAAACTTGCACAACATATAAAACAAAGAAGATTTTAAATGTAGAAAATGTAGATTTGCATTACCTGAAGGAAATACCGCAAAGGAAGCCCATAATATTTTCCTGAGATGTTGATTTATGACAAACAATTTGAAAATTAATCAGATGTAAATTATAATTACAAAATATTATCATATTTCCATAAGGATGTACAATTTTATCACTAAATTAATGTCAGCCATTTTTAAAAACCAAGGAGAGGGAGTGGTCATGGTGAAACATCCAATCATTTGGTATCTGTGGAAAGCCCTGAATGTGCTCTGTACAGGACATCCAGACTTAAATGCAATTACATGTGAGGTCTCAGAGAAATTCACTAAAATATAATGTCCACTACAGAGGCAAAAACTCCATAGCTGGGTCTCAGGATATATAGTGCTCAAGTTTAGGTTTGAAGCTTAGTTTGTGTGTCATAAAATTTGTATTAATTATAAAAACAACTAATATATATATATATATATATATGACAAGAACATGCACACTGAATAACACATGTTCACATTCTGATTTATGTATGCAAATTTTGCTTAACAGTGCATGACTTTTAACCAAAAAGAAAAAGTAATTAAGGCATTTATATGACACATCGGGGTCATTTATCATAATTAGAGCAAATAAGCACAGTCGATGAGGTTAAATCAAGGCGGTCTAATATGTCTTATTCATGAACAGATCATTCTTTTGAGTCTGATCTGTATGCTTTCTAAACATTTTTCTAATCAATCAGACTGAATCAGTAAAAGTTCTCAACCAGATATGGTTGTAGAATATTGTCAAAATAGAGGGTTTATCTAACTAGATGCAGAAAAGGAAGACCAATTACAATTCAGTATGCAAACAGAAAGACTAAGAAGACCAATTGCAGTTCAGTATGCATATACTATGTTGATGTAGCTGCACATTCTATTAGTCTAATGAAGATTTTCAAACTGTAATCTTCAATTTCTTTAAAAATGTAACATCTTCAAAACCAAAAAAATGGATAAAACACCTAAGGCAAATTTTTTTTAGCAGTTTATGCTAAATTAAT